CTGTTTACTGAACTCTCTCCTATTTTTCAGCATCTCTTTTACACTGGAGTGCCAAAACTAGGCACCGTGTCCAGGTGTGGTCTCACAAGTGCAGAACAGAGGAGAGCAATCACTTCCCTCAACCTGCTGGCTGAAACACAGCTGGCTGTGCAGTCAGCCGGGTGACTTTTAACAGATGAGCTATATGTTTTTTTTCTTCTGGCTGCCATTTGGTAGTGGTGTCTGGACTTCTGAACGAGAAATTGCATTGGCAAGATCATGTGAGCTGCAGAGAGAAAAATGGAGCCAGATGCATCTCGTCACACAGTATTGTCCTAGCTGCTCATCACAAGCTAGCAGCTTCATTCAGGTTGCCCAGGAACCATAGGCTCCTTGTGAGGAGCCCCAATCCAGCGGCAAGTTGGCTTTAAGAGTTGCCTTTGCCTTGATCCGTCCAACTGATACCGTAAGTTAGACTCCTCTGAATTGCCTTTTCGGAAGAGCTGATTGCATGGGCAGACTGGGAAGCTGAGTCTCCTGATTCACAAAGCTGAAGCTAGGTAGTGTGAACATGCCCCAGGGAGCCACATTGCCAAAGCTTTGTTGAGAGAGAGAAGAAAGACCACTTCCCTGCCATTGATGTGGTAATGGCCTCCAGAACACTGAAGTGTGGCTCTGTCAATGACGCACTGATTGCTATCTGAAAGTCAGTCTTCTGGGATATGAATGGAGGCTATTTTGTTCTTCTTCAGTTCATAAATTAGTGCATCTGAGTAGCCAGTGCCTGTGAGCCAGAGAACAGCTCAAGTGGTGAGAAAGCACGGCTTTCTCATGCTTCTGTCTTTGTGCATTGGCCATGGGTGAGTGGCCTGCTGCTTTCACAAGAAACCCTGTTCAGAAGTGAGCGTGGGTAAAGTTGGCATCTTTTATCCGAGTGCCATCTATGTAAGATATCCAGAAGTCAGGATCCCCCTTCTCTCACGGAACGGGTTGTGACCCTGGTCTGAGCTGGCACTGAGGGTCCCAGCTCCAGTCTCATGCATAAGGGACTTCCCTTCAGTGACTTACTAATGATGACATACTACTGCAGCATCTCTCCATATAGTACAAATGATGCTAACTTCAAAACAGAAATCTCGAGCACAAATAAAATGAAGTAACAATGAAACTAACGCAGTAGGATGTTCCAGGGAATCTTTAAACAAAGGTGCCTGCACAGTACCTGCAGCACCGCAGTGAATTTAGAAATGCTGTTGGTGTCCTCCACTGCTTACAGTGGTTTTGTCCTTTCAAAGTCCAGGTTTCTTTTTCCCCTTTTAAAGTTGCTGGCTCTAAAATATTCTACTTGACAATTTATCTACACTAACAGGATTTTTTTTGTTGATTCTGGAAGCACTTGAGAACAGGGGAAATTGGCCAAGACATTCAAAAGTTAAATTAAAATCTGACTCTGCAAATAGCCAGTGTCACTGGTGTGAATAACTTCACTCTCGGGTAAAAGATACTGAGGGAAAGCGGAGAATTGTATCGGACAGAAATGCAACTTAACACATACAGATAAAAGTAATCTAGGGTTGGCTAGGGTGACTTCCAAAGAAGATAGTGGATAGTTGGATCCAAAATTATTGATAACAATGGAGGAATTCCTGATGCTATGGGTTAAGATGAGGACATTCCTAAGGTTGCTCTGCACTGGTTGTTGTGAGCTTTGTAAAGCATTCGGCTGGGTAAGAACAGGATTTACGGGTAGGTAATCTGCAGCAGTCATTTTGGAAAGCTTTAATCATGGGTTATTGTTGGTGTCAGGAGTTTTTGTGTGCACCTATGGATTAAAGAATGTATGATATGTCTAGAATTCAGAGAGGGATATAAACAAGCCTCATGGTATATATAATCTTCTCCTGCTCGGAGGTGTCGCTGATGTTGATCAGAACAACTGTGCCAGTTTCCTCTTGAAAAGTGTTCATTTACTGAAAACAAAATACATGAAATGTCATCCCTAGTGAAACATTTGTCTCTGCTTCTGTGCCCACATCTTCTGGGGCCAAAGTTTCCACATTCTTGCTTCTTGCAAAGCTGTTGCGGTGGAAGCCTTTCCCCTTTATAGCAATGTTGGTTTTTTTCAGTAAAAAACAAAGCAAGCTACTTTCCATTTCAGAATGCAAGATGTAATATCTCTGCAGAGATTAACCTTCTTTCCAGAGTTGTTTTTGTGGTTGAAAGAATAAATCTGTTATCATTAAAATAAAAGAAAAAATCTGCACCTCATTATTTCCAGAAATAAAACTTACATAATGAGATTTATTAAGAATTGACTCTGGGTGAACTGAAGAGAGAGCCAACCCCAAAGACTTTGTGTTCTAGAAAAAAGGCAGCAAGACAATAGGGTGGACACAGGGGAAGCTAGAAGAGGGAATTGCTCTGTGATGTTAATAAAAAAATATGTTATTTTTGGGAAGGACACTGAGAAGTGGCTTGGCAAATGCGGCAGGAGGAGTTATTCAAACCTCCTTCATGTGTTAGGTGCTTGGCTGAGCTCAGTTGCATAAGGCAGAGATGCGAAAGATGCACAAAGTATCAGGACTGGCATGGCCGGGAGGAGAGATTCGGGAGGAAATGTAGAGGGCAAGAAGCGTTAACATGATAGCTTATCCTTTCCTGCTCTGCCCCTTCCCTCGGTTCCCTCTTCTGCTTCTCTCCCGTAACTGAGCCCCTGGTTAGCTGCTGGACCTGCGTCCCGCTGACACTGGCTCTTTGCTGTGCCACCAACCTCTTAGGAGCAGCAGTAAAAATATTCCTCCACATATCCATGAGAGGAAATGTGGTTTGGCATTTGGCAAAGTTACAGGGGTGCAGACTTAGTGCTGAGGCAGCAGTTTTTATGAGCAGGCTGGCTTCTCGTGTGTGCTACCTGGGCTGCCAAATTTCCCTGTGGCTTTTCTTCCAAGCCTCCACCCCCTCCTGCACCTCTGTGGGGTGGGTCATTCTTTTTTTCTTTTTCGCTTTCTTTTTTCCTTCCCTTTTACCTTCGGGCCATCAACAGGTTTGTTTCCTGATCTCTGTGCAGGGTGTCTGCTTTGAAGACAACTTCTCACCTTTTAGTTACTGAAAGAATGTGAGGAATGAGGCCCCATGGCCCCAGCCTACCAACCCAGCTGGGCTCTGTTTGTACATGCAGTGGAGAAGGAGCAAGGTGCCTGCAGTCCCTGGGAGCAGACTCTGACCCTGCAAGCACTGCTTGGTGGGCAGCGAAGGAGAGATGGCAGTGGCATGTGTGGAGGGTGGGGATGGCCTTTAAGTGCGTATCTGAGCATTCCACTACACTGAGAAATACTCGTTGGTAGTGCCAACAGCAGTATAGCCACATAGCTACAGATCCTGATCCACCATGTAGAGTTTCAACTTGTTTTAGCAATTAAGTTTTCTTGACAATATTCACTTCTAAGGCAGATCCATGAGTAAATCAGTCTGGCAAGAGGAGTGAGTTGCTGATCTGGCTGCAGTGGCTCTGGGATATTTGCAGGCGCAGGTGGGTTGGCTGGGCAGGAGGAGAGGGTTATTCCCACCCCCATGTAGCTGTCGTGACTGTCGGTGTCATGGTGTTCATATTTCCTCTTACAACTGCATCTGCCAACAGGGCGAACAAGCAAAAGAGCTTTGGTGAATCCAGCTGTGGCAGTGGAGACTGTTACGGGCTCTATTTGTCTGCCCTGCCCCTTGCCAATAGCTGCTCCCTCATGCCGGGGTGGGCAGCGTGCCATGCTCCAGCCACTCTGGCTCACAGCTAGGTATTTGGGCTTAAACCACAGGCAGCCGTGAGTTTGTGCTTGTGCCCCCAGGCTCTGCAGTGTGCCGAGGCACGGGCGCACGTTCGCTTCCGCCAGAGAACAGCTGGGAACGGGGAACATCCTAAACTGTTTGCAGGTGCATGTAACGCAGGCTCCTACAGCGACACTTGAGATCGTTGTGTTTGTCCGTATGGCTGAAGCAATAATCCAGTTGTCACGTCCACAGAGGCCTTGAATAGACACAAAGGGAGGAATTTCTTGCACCCAACCCTAGTTCTTCACAGCTGGAGCAACTGCTCCGGGTTCCTCCTATGATCAGTGGGGATAAAGTAGGACTTTCAGAGCACATTTTGTACAACCTATTTCTGATGCAGGGTGACACCACTCGCACCCTGGACCTCATCCACAGTGCTGGCTGGGCCCGTGCTGGTTGCACAAGATGTTTGTCCGCACAGTGTGCTGTTGCATGTTGCTGGAGGCGGTACCTGGTGCTCCTGTTTTCACAGTGGTGTGTGCAGATGGGCTGTAGGCTGATGAGCGAGCCTTTTCCTCGCTGTGAACACTAAAGTCTGTCGCTCAGGAAAGCTTTGCTGATGTGTCCTACCTGTAACGCGTGTGTGACTGGCAATCCTAATTACTCGTCCAAGTACTCCCAAGGCTGGATGAGACCCCATGCTACCGTCTTACCTGGAGAGAGACTAAGCCATCCTATTGCCTCTCCCAGGACATTAAGTCACAGCATCCCTTCAGGGCTATGTACAGGCACAAAATGGGACTAAAACAATCCAAACTCTTAGCCCTTCCGTAATTACCTGCCTAACGAGCCCAAAGACCTTTACTGTCTGGTCAGTCACTGGTTCTGATTTTGCTTAATGTAATCAGTATCTGAGCAAATAATATGCTAGTCATCAGTCAGGCTAAATGGTATTGTTTTACCCTTGTTTCTCTGTGTTGCACCTGCAAAGTGGTATTCCCTGAACAAATAGCCATGCTGTCAAGGGGACCCAAGTACCCTGATGAGCTCTCAGTTAAAGTATGTGCTCTTCATCTCTTGGCAGAGAAGTGCAGCACTCACTGGGTTTGAACAAAATCACTCCTGCAGTGGGGGGATTCTTCCTCCTTTCTGCACTTGTCCAGGACCCCCTGGAGGATGCTGTTTCCTGAGAGGGGGTAGAAACGCCCATGATGGAAATTGCACTGACAGTCTTCCTTCACCCTTGATTCCCCTTTCAGAGCACAGTTGGAGAGAATCGATGGCTTCAAGGGCACCTGATACAGTTACTAATCAGTTACTGTGATTTGAACACAGCGGCAAGGTGGGCGCAACGCTGCAATTTGCCCAAGGAGATGCTACCTTATGGAGTGGCTGATGAGCTTCAAAAGCTTCAGATCCAAGAGCGGTAAATACTCTGTTTCGTGCTTTTTCAATGTAGATTACTTATCATACAAGGACTACATATTTGCTTAAAATAATCTGCCACAATGCTTCCTTGGGGAGATAATTTTGCAAAAACTTCCTCCATTTACTCAGATTACCTATCGGCCATGTACATGCTGCATTTGCTTTCATAAGCCTGGAAATGTCTGTGAAAGGTACATTTTAAACTCACTCCTGAGTACTTAGAAGCTGTATGAGATTGCTTCAGGCCGCAGAGGGGTCTTCAGACTCCCTCTGCCAGATCAACAGCGCAAATGAAATGATGTGGGTAGGATCTGAATATGCGTCTGTTTTACTGAGTTGATTACATGTCTGTCAAAGTTTTCTATATACTCTGCATCCCCCACTGTACTGTAATCTGGTTTAATGCCTTTTAGGAGACTTATGGCCAAGAAAATAATTTTAAAGTTCCTTAATTTTTTCTAATTGTATTTATTTTCTTCCTCCTTTGACAGCTCATAAGCCATTTTTCATCCCAGTCTGTAATTTTTGCCTCATCCAAAGCTTTCAGAAGTAATGGGAATTTTTGACATTTGGGGTCAGATGCCAGAAGAGTTGCATTAATTGAATTTGGGATAAAACCGGACTCTCTGGCACAAATTTACCAAGTGAGCTTAAGAAGCCTTTAGCCCCCTAATTAGTCTCTGTCCCCCTTTCTTCCTCTAATGCAATCCCAATAACACAGTGCCATGGTTCCTCTCCTGCTTTGGGACCCCCATGTTGTATGCAGCAGATTAGCCTGCAGTAGCTGCAGTTCCTCTCCTGATGGGAGCTTCATCCTGTTGCATGACCTGAAACAAGAGTACAAAGGCAGAGGTACAAAAAAGGAATTGAAAAAGCCTTATATTAAGAAGGGTTCTTACAACTCCTTGATTTCAAGTGCACAGAACTGTGCAAACAGCCCCAGTCAAGGATCTCTGTGAACCTGCTGATGTAGGAGGAGCAGAGGGGAAGGATGGAGGGAAGAGGATGGCCAGGTTCCATGCTGTGTGTAGACAAAGCTGTGCGAAGTTGAAAAGAGGCTCAAAATTTAGGAAGGCACACATAGCCACCTTAACTGTTAGGAGCTGTCTGATCCCCCCAGCAAGCTAGATCTGGAGGAGTACCAGGGCGTTGTAGTTCTGGTTCTGAGTATTCTGTGCTGGCCCAAGGTCATCCTCTTCATGCAACAATATCCCAGGCAGTTGCTCAGCTATGCTGTATGGAGGAAGAAGGGCTGTATTTGAAAAAATGACTCAATGCAAATGATTTGCTGAGCCCCAGTAACTCACTTTTATACTCACGTGAGTGATGGTGTATCTGCCATGCTTCAGTGACTCTGTCCACGAGATGTTTAAGCAAATTATTCAGAGATAGCCATGTTTGACACCCTTTTTTAAACCTTTTTTTTTCCTGCAGAAAAGCCTGCACATATGCAGGCTACTGCAAGTCTTGAGGAACTGCAGAGCTTGCAGATGATACTGCATGATACAGATGATCCTGTTAGGATCTCACCCAGGACTGCACAGGAGATCTGGAACCTCGGGCTGGATGAGGTCTGGCTGGTAGTCCCATCAACACACAGCCCAGTAGCCTCTGTGCCCACACGTGTTCGTGAGCCGAACTCCTGCAAGGCTGCAGGCTACCACAGTCCTTGGGTTCAGAGTAATTACACAGTCACCTTGCTGGCCTGCTACAATCAAGCAGCATTTTCTCTGCTCATTCATGTGCAGGAATTCATCTAATTGGATTCTGTGCACACAAGAGGACTTATCCCTGAATGCTCAATGCAAATTCAGGAGAGCTCTGGGCTGTGTGGTTGGAGTGCAGCATAGCTCAAAGCCTCGCTGTCATTCAAGGAGGAATCACGTGTTTCCAGGTAGAATCAAGGCTCTTGTCAAAAACAGAAGAGAGGAAGCAGTGATAATTTTTGGGTTCCTTAGGACTCTTCCATTGTTGTACACATCAGTCACCTTATTCCAGGGTGTTGTGCTTGACTGGACTTGGCACCATTTGCCTGATGTCTCTCTTACCCTCACTGGTGAAATATGTTGGGGGTTTTTTTTAGCATGGAGATTGGTGTTTCTAGTTCAGAAGCCAGGTGAGATTAGAGGAAAGTTTATGGGAAAATCTTGACCACTCCTGGGAGGTAACTATTTACAACTTTGTGCTAGCTGATAGCTCATATCTTTAGCATCCTGCAAACATAGCCCTTGAAGCCTGTAATACAAGGGAGTAACTTTCTATATGGAGCTCAACTTCTCAGTGTATATGATGAAAAACTGAATCTGATTTGAAATGGACTGTGTGTCCAGGAGGAGTTGATGAGGACATCATACATTGCCTGTTTGGGGAGGAATAAAGCCAGCAGAAAGTCAATGATCCGTGGGTAGCAAGTTGGACGCTTTCAGCGCCGTGCTCTTGGTGTGAGAAGCAGGGGCAGGGTCCCTCTTGGCATGGCTGTTGCACGAGTCTGCATGCCCATGCTCATCTGCCACCTCGCATGGTCTGGGGCTTTCTCCTGTTACTGCAGAGCGTGCGGTTGTATGCAGATGATTTGGGTGCTTCCTTTTACCGTACGTTCTTAGTGCAGGACTTTCCTACTGGTGTCATATGTCAGAATAATGAACTCAGCTAACAGTTAGGATCTGTCACTGGCTGCCTGGTTAATGCCAACACCTCACTAGGGGATAAGGAGACCATTTGAAGACGACCAAGCCTGAGACTGAGCAAGGTTACCTGCTCTGACAGGTTTATCATCAGGTTTGTTGTCTTTAACATTACAGCAGATTTCCATCTCCTGGAAGAGGTGTTTATGCAAAAACTGCAGCTTTCATAACTAAAAATTGTTTTTTTGGAGCACAGATTGGACTAACTTGAATTACGTAGAAGGTGAATGAGAACACGATGTATTATTATTTTTTAATGCTGATGATTTTGGGAGGGTCTCACAGATGGCCTTGAACAGTTCATGTGCTGAGCTTCATGGATCTGATCTTTCTCCTAGTGCAGTCCGCACTAGTTCATATTCAAGCCCCATGTAACCTCAGGAAATATGACACAGATGTAATCACCCTTGAAACACTGTCTGCAAAGGCCCACTTCTCCAGATGGTACATGGCTTTCTTGGAGCACAGGAAACTCTTGTCTGTCTAGGACATGCTTCTGCTCAGCTCTGATGCATTGCTGGAGCTGCCCTCCTCCTCCTCCTGAAGCTGCACCAGCCGCCAGTTGGGAGCCAGAAGGTTTTTGCATGAGGTGTAGTCCCTCGAAACACAAAGGGGTGGTTAACAGGAGTGTGACTTAGCCACAGACTCTGTGCATCTAGAAAGATTAAAAACATCACTACATCTCTCTGCTCTGGGAATCCTGTGTCGTGTATGGGTGGAGTGAAGGCATGCCGATTAGGATGTGCTCTGCCGTTCATGAGGAGTTGTGACAGATGAGTAAAACCCTTTGTGCCCCAGTTTACTCATCCAGTCATGATACCTGCTGCAGTAGCTGCTATAAAATCAGCGGAGCCATGGAACCTAATAAAACAGTCTGTCTGCCTTATTTATTGAGCTAACAAAGCAGCAGGTTCCCAGAGAGGGTGTTCACACTGTAGAGAACAAGGTGGTACCAGCATATAAATGACATCATCTCTGCCACTGGTCATATCACATGCAGTTCCTGAATGCTGCAGGTGAGAATATTCCTGGAGACCTGAGACTGCACACCTTCATTAAATATTTTACACAAATATTGACTTCCCCATGCACACAAACCCACAGAAAAGAGTGTTTGTACAGTGAAAGCTGCTATGCTACAGAATTAGTCACACAGTCCCCTAAACATAAGGTTAGTAAATAGTTTCTCAAATAATAAACCATTTCAAGTCTCTGTGGGAAAGAGACTATCCAGAAATTTGTGATATGTCCAAAATAGCTGGATATTTTTTATTAGTTTCTTTCCTCTGATTGCATCATCTGGCTGAGACACCACAGCAATATGCTGACCTTCCAGTTACAAGGCCATTTCAAGAGACTCTGCTGCATTCTGAAAAGAAAATGTGCTGTGTAAGATCCTGCTGTAGGAAATCAGTTAGCTCATTTCTGCAGGCATCTTCCAACATTCCCGGGGTATTAATACACAGATACTGAATTTCTCTGTGTGGTGCCATCTGAAACCCAAATGGAGGGAGTAGCACAAGCAAGGCACTCGCTCTGTGGGTTCAGCTGGCCGTCTTCCCCTAAATATAGGCTTTGAAACTTTATTTCTGAACTTTTCTCATTTCATCCCTGTGCAACGTAGGACAAATGTTCTTGTGCAACCTGTGCAGACATTTTACAGGGAAGGGGATGGAGGAGAAGCAGCTGGATAGCATCAGGGAGGTTGATGAAGCCTTCCCAAGCCATTGCACTATAAAATGATGAGGCAGATTCACCCGTTCCCAGCTGGTAGTGACCTTGGCGTGGAGCAGTCTGAGAGTCTCTTTCTGAGCCAGTTTATGCTGTGGGGAAGTGTGAAGCTCCTGTTTGGACACAGCGCTGGTCAGAGCTGACTTCTCTGTCATGTATTATACCGTGGGAGCTAGCAGACTTCCATGTTAACCTCGAGGGCAAAAAGCAGTAAATCTAAAATGCTTTGTCTCTGAATGTGGAAACAGCTGCCCAACTTTGTCATCCAAGTCGCATCAGTTCTGGGAAAGAGAGCTGAGCACTGAAGACAGAGCTTGGGACTCTGACTCCAGCAAGTGTTTTGGTTTGGGTGTTCTCTGCAGTGGATACAGTGCCATTTCTGTGATAGGAATAAAAAGAGAGGATGAGTCAAGACGAAAGAGACTGAGATTACAGGGAAAATGAGGAGAGAGAGGGTAAGAGAAAGAGTTGAGTGGCATGGGGAAATAGAGGGCCAGGGTGAAATAAGGGGCTTAAGACTTCCCGATGTTCCTCCAATCCAGGATTTCCTCTCATTGCATGGCTTAAAGCTGTTGCATCTGATTCTGTGTAGGGTAGAAGATGCCGCAAAAGCAGACAATTATGAAGAGAGTAAGAAGAAGGACTATTACCAGCTTCCAATTCCACGGGCAAACATTCACTTCCTGCAGACATGGGAAGAGACACTGCAGTGCTGGGAAAAGGTGCTGCAGGTGAGTGTGACTGGTATTTACTTTGCAGGGTCAAGGAGCAGAAACTCCGTAGCAGGCTGGTACGCAGGGTTGTATGTGGGCCACTGCCATCAAATGTCTCCCTCCCCAGGTCAAGAACAGCTGCTTCCTTTAGGCTTGTCTGATCTGGGGAACGTGTTGGGAATTGTTGTGCCAGGAAAGGTCCCCGCAGGGGTCACTCAGGTGTGCTATGAAAGTTACTTGTCTCTGTAGCTGTTTGCACACTAGCAAAGAGATGCAGTTGTTGGAAAGGAAATGCTTGTGTTCTGGACAGGGACTGTCCAGGCTACTTTCAAGCATAGACAGTCTCTAAGTGAAGAAAGCATTTGTCTGTGTTGCAGCCTGGGCAGGTTGTTGGCATTGACATGGAGTGGAGGCCTTCATTCGGCATGGTCGGGAAGCCCCGTGTTTCCCTCCTTCAAATCGCTCTGAAGGATGAGGTGTTCCTGCTTGACTTGCCACGGCTCCTCGAGCAAGCTGAGACGGAGGGTGAGAAGGAGAAGCTTCCCCATTTCATCCAGATGCTCTATTCAGATGCAGCCATCACTAAACTAGGTAACATGCATCTCTTCTCCCCACCTCGGGTCTTTACACAGCTTATTTTGTGTAACGCCTAGATCCTCTTGGGGTTGTCATTCTCTAAATCCACTTATCACAGAACCAGTTTTTGTAGCCCTGGGTATTCAAATACTGCCATGCCAGGAAGCAGGGTGACCAGTGTAACTGGGAATGATAGAAATGTCTCCCCATTTCAGGTCAGACCCAAGATTTTTGATTTAGCCTCCCCCCTCGGACTTGGGGTTGTCTTAGTTCCATACTAAATCCTGACTTGCACCCAACCTTCAGAGCTCTCGGAAAGTCTGCCATCCAGAGCTTTCTGGATTTGCTGGCCCTGTCCCAAAGCCGCTGTGCTGGACACCAGAGCTCTCCGTCTTACCATACCTGGTTTTAGATTCTGTTTGGAGGCTTTTGACAGGAGTTGTTAAACCCAGAGTTCAAGGGCAAATTCATAATTGCCTTTCACTGACCTAGCAGATTTTAAGTAAGTTGATCTTAAACTCAGCATTTTTCATCCACCTCTTCTCTCCCAATCTTGATCTGCAAGAGTATCTCTTAGGAACAGGAGAGATGGGAGTTTGCCTTGTTCCCTATCTGAACAGTCTTTCCACTAATGTTTATACGTATATTGTCAGCATTTTAACTCTGAACTAGAAAAAGCTGCGGTGCATTAGCCATGATTTGAGTTTTCCTACCTGTGTGATTTGTGCTCTTTTTTTCTCCAGGTTATGGGACATCTGGAGACCTTAGCAGCCTTGCAGCCACATGGTCTGCTTTGAAAGGCATGGATAAGCAAGCACAAGGTGTGGTGGACCTACTCACAGTAGACAAACAAGTAAGGATGAACACATGAAGATACGGAATACTGTGTCTCCTGCATGTGCTCATAGATAACTGTCATGAATTCACAGCATTGTCTTTTTGTATCCTGTATTGGCAGGGAGATGGCTAAATGAGTAAATAGACCTTTTCCGCTTGTGGTTTTGAGGGTAATGTGATTCTGTAAAGAAAGACAGAAGCATTTGGTTTTCATCAACTAAAAAGTTAGAGCTTGATATACTAATAACTTTTTTCATCGCCTTTATAAAAGGCGATGAAAAAGCAATTGAAATGGAGACATAGCTCCATTCAGATAGGACAAAATTTCTGAGCACAAGTCATACGTGAACTCGGTAAGAGTAAATTCTTGTAGAAATTCTGATATTCCAAGATCATGCAGTATTGAAGCAGATATTATGGAGTTAATGATTTGTAGAGAACTCGTAATGTTCGTAGGAGGGCTGCTGGTAGATTCAGTACAGGAATTTCTGTTCAGCTGAAGTACAGCTGTCTCTGGGTTTGCACACAGTAGTTTTTAGCCGTCTGCAGAAATGTTAAGGACAACCATTTTAACGGGTAAAATTTAGAGTGTGTTTAAGGCTGTGGGTTGGGGTGAACCCAGATCTTTGGGACCGATAGCTTAACCTGGGAAGTGCTGCAGGGTCTGAAGTACCTGCCAGCAGCTATTGCCTCAGTTTAATCTGAGAAATGGCAACTGCAGAAAGGCCGTTGCCCACTGTGTTACAGGAATACCTTTTCTCACTGGAACTAGGAGGAGAAAGGTGCTGAACTACTGCTGCTATTCTTTTATTGAGTTGATGCCCAACAGCCTCCAGCATGGCTGAGCACCCTGCAAACCTCTGAGAAGTCACGGTCACAGCCCCACTGCTCTGATGCAATGCTGTACGACAATGCACTTTTTTTCCTTCCCCGGCTATGAAGGAGATTTCTTTCCTGCAAGTGTGTTTGTTAAACAAATAACCAGATGCCGTATATATCTAATGCCATCCCAGCCCTTGTCTGAGACAACGGGATTCAATATGCCAGGCAAGAGATAAAAATGATAGGGTTGCTACATGGCCCCACCCACTGGAATAGGAGGTGTTGTGGAAGTTGTTTTATAGCCATGTGTTTTATATCTTTTTCTTTCCATCAGCTGCAGAAGAGCTCCATTGACTGGAAGAAGGGTGGCCGGAAGGTCGATGTACTGTCCTCGGAGCAGAGCTACAAGGATAGAGGGTTCAGGCAGCCGGAGAAAGGACTCAGCCTCTTGGTGCAACATGTGCTGGGGAAACCTCTAGATAAAACAGAGCAGCTGTCTAACTGGGAGAAACGGCCTCTCCGGGAGGAACAGATCCTCTATGCAGGTCTGGTCACTGACTCTGTGGCAAGGTGCTACAGATTGTCCATTACAGGCTGTGTTTGTCTGTTCTCTGTCACCAGGAAAATTGTTAAGTAGCAAACAAAGAAAATGGCTTTGCAGATTAGTTCCTGTTCAGAGAAGCCAGCACATGTTATGTTTGTCCTTTTGCAGACATGGCTTTAATGGTTGAAGTTTAAACTGTCCAGTGATTCATTATTTCCCTTATGAAAAAATTCCTGTGCTTTGCAGATTTTGTCTGATGAAACATCACCTCAGTGGAAACTCCTCTCAGTAACTGAAAGGAAGAAAGTCCACTTCCTTCTACCTCATTTCACAGCCTTTCTAGGCTGTATTCATTTGTCATAGTGAAGTGCTTGTTAGAGCAGGGTTAAAAATGGGTAGACATGGTGTCAGAAACTGCAGCACAGAATCAGTACTGTGGAGGGACCAGTGTAGTTTATTGCTGATTACCCCAGAGTCAGAAGTCTGGGACTAAATCTTTTCCTGAGGCATCAAAGGACAGTCTACTGAAGCGAACTAGCCCTTTGTTAAATTCAGCTATCCTTGAAGCTGACACAGTTCCCACAAAAGTCAGTCACCAGGACTTGTAAAACTGGCTTGGAGACTTAGACAGTTCCCGCTGCAAGGAACAGAGGCCGCATGGCAGTGTGTGTGGGCAGGTGATTGCAAACAACTCGGTTATTACTTTTTAAGATATTACAACTAATGGGGAAGTTACCTTCCCATAGCTGAGATGCGGTAATAAACCATGGGCAAGCCGCTGCTCGGTAACAATGGAGAGTGAAGTGGGTTGGCTGAAGCTATCTTACATGGTGGTTTGGACAGGCACACTACAATTTGCACTACATTAGAGTCAGAGACAGCGGAGGGCCTGTCACTTTTTGAGCTTCTCTGCCTTGGCTCTTTGTGATCGTGTGTTAGGTTATGATGCTCACTGAATCAGTAAAAAGTACAGGGTATGACATTAGTAAGCTGGAGCTTCACAGGTTGTTTGTGTTCAGTGGCATTTACAAAGGCCAGGGTTCTTCCTTGCATTAGGCAAACCTCTGTTTTACTTTTGAATGAAACCAGCTGAGGCTCATATTCCATTTTTTTCAGCTTCAGATGCATACTGTTTGCTGGAGATCTACGAGAAACTCTGTAAGGATCCAGCAAGCTTTGGTCTGAGTTCAGACCTGACTAAGAGTCTGGTGGGAAAACCAAGCATAAAACCCAGGGCAAAGAAGCAGCTGAATAAACAAGAAGTACCCTCACCTTCTGGACAGGTTTGTAAACATCTTCAAAGAGCTGCATGTTGCTCAAGACCCCTGCAAATCATATGTTGCCTTGTCTCTCAGTCATACTATTAGCTATGCATGGCATGACTGTTTGTAGTCTGTTCTCAGGACTATTGCAGCAAACATCTTCCTCGCTCCTCCCCTTTACTGGTAAGATGTGCTTTCTCCTTTGCATGCCTTGGTTCAGCTTTCCCTGTAATTTTAGGTTCATTTGTCTTCACAAAATTTTGGTGCAGATCTGTGTGGCAGAATCCAGCTAACCTTGCTGGTAGAAATGTTCCTTCCACATTTCCTCAGTGGTGTGGGTTTGAATTCTGTGGCCTAGGTGTTGCATCAATGAGGTTTCAAAACTGACTTCCTTACTTTTGCTTTTAACTGAGCTTCTACACTTTGGTTTCACATTGGGAATGCCTCCTTCGTTGCATCTGGAGTAGACGTCTGCAAAGTTAAAAACAAACATTCGACCAAAAAAGTCTTTCTGTCGATGGCTTGTCTCTGTCACCCTGCCCACCACCACATACTCCATGACTGGCCTCCCCCTGCAATGTATGTTGTGACAGAACCTTAAAACTCTGCTGGCCATAGCTTGGAGCTGTGCGACTCTGCTTAAGTATCTTGGAATGTGACTGGTCCCTCTCTCTCAGTAATAAAGTTTTAGTTTTAAAATGCAACCATCTGGTTGTTTATGCACCTGTGAAAACATTAGCAGAAAAACAGTTTTGTTTGTTAACTGAGAAGGCTCACTATGGCTGTGTATCCTTCCGAGTAGTCCCAAATGTGCATTTAGCTCCTGAAGTCAATACTACCTTCCATGGTTGGACTGAGATGCTATTGATTATAGCCACCTTTGCAGGATCCTCCTTATAAAGTGTGTGTAAATGTACAGTATCCCATTAGTCTTAGTCAGGCAGTAGAACACAAAGCTGCTCGGTAGTTTCCTAAGCACTCTGTGTGCTTAGGAATATTGTATGTTACAACAGATCTGACTGGCTGCTGCAGAGATGGGAAAAGTAAGTACTTCAGGCTTGAATTACCTTGTGAACTCACGGGTCATCTTTGTGTTCTGTACAGTCAGATTCATTAAGCGAGAGGTAGTTGGTAAAACCTGGACTGGGACTCAAAAAAGCAGACTTTTCCTGACTCTGCATCCTGCATGACTCCAAGCTCTCTTTCCCAGTGTTTCCTGGTCCACTATCTGAAGTGGGGCTAATGACACTATTCTCCTTTATAAGCCTTTTGCTCTCTGCTGGCATGAAACATGAGAAAAAAGCTACATATGACATTGCTGGCCATTGAATAAACACTAGCTAAGAGCCAGCTGCTGCTCCTTTACATCTGTTTGAACAGAAGCAGCAGCACAGGGTTAGTGTTTTCCAAGTACCTCAACATCGAAGGGTCAGCTTGATCCGTTGTCACAGCACTCTGATGTCTCAGGGCACAACTGCATGCAGTAAGGGTCCTTGCAGGAGCCGGTGACAGTCCAGTCTACCCAGCGCTGCAGAGCTTTGAGTGCATGTACCAGCTTCTGGGAGGTGCAACGTCACACAGATTGAGCTCTTGGATCTGAGCTAGTTCACATGGTCAGCCCAGGTGTATCTGCATGGTGTGCCGTAGCATTTCCAGGCCTGAGTCAACTCCTGCAGAGTTAATCTGCAATGCTGCAGTAACTGTCTGGTTCCAAAGACAGCATAGCCCTGCATAGGTGGTGGCTGTGTCCTTCAGTCATCCCAGCTGCATTCAAGTTCCTGGAGGCAAAGCTGAACATTGGAGGTTCCTTAATAACTTCCCTTCTCCATGAATTTAGCTATTGTACTTCTGGGAGCTTCCCAACGACAAAGTCTCCAACTGCAGGAACTCCCCCAGCAGCAGACATTTGAAATAAAATAAACAGAATTCAGGCACTGCCTATTTTTAAACTTCCGAAGATAACAAAGCTGACGTGGTTGCTTTGTCTACCTGTTTCTCCCTCTGTCTGTCAGATCCCCTTCCCAAATCATAACTTTGACACGTATATTAATTGCAGTCTAATTCGATAGGGGAATAGCAGTCTTGAAGGTGTGTTTCTGTGACTTCATGAAAATGAATGTCTGTGTAGAGCATAGAAGGCGAGGCTGGTATTTCTCCAGGGAAAGGCTACAGATCCCCGGGTTGGGTGGCTAGCTGGCCAGTGAGTGAATGGCTAATTCAGAATTAGCCCCATCACGTGCTGCCTCCTGCCCAAGTGGTAGGTGGGCGATGTAGAAAGGACATGAAGGAGGAACTAGAGGTGTTGCAGAGCATGGGGGAGATTGTAATACAGGTGGTAGGGGACAGTTGAATTTGCCATGGCAGGTGAATGCAGGGAAGCAAAACACAAATGTACTGGAAATCAGCCTTCTGTTCTGCTGCTTACGGATCTCTTGCCTTTCTGTAGCAATGCACAGGATCCAAAAAGGAGAACTTGTGTCCCCCTGCTCCCATCTCCCCAAAGGAGTTCAGTGTGGTCTGCGATAACATGCTGCAAGGCCTTGGGCGCTATCTTCGCTGCCTTGGTGTAGATGTCCGGATGCTGGAGAATGAGGATGACCATAGGAAAGCTGCTGAGGTGAGAGAGAGAGAGAGAGAGAGAGAGAGAGAGAGAGAGAGAGAGAGAGAGAGAGAGAGAGAGAGAGAGAGAGAGAGAGAGAGAGAGAGAGAGAGAGAGAGAGAGAGAGAGAGAGAGAGAGAGAGAGAGAGAGAGAGAGAGAGAGAGAGAGAGAGAGAGAGAGAGAGAGAGAGAGAGAGAGAGAGAGAGAGAGAGAGAGAGAGAGAGAGAGAGAGAGAGAGAGAGAGAGAGAGAGAGAGAGAGAGAGAGAGAGAGAGAGAGAGAGAGAGAGAGAGAGAGAGAGAGAGAGAGAGAGAGAGAGAGAGAGAGAGAGAGAGAGAGAGAGAGAGAGAGAGAGAGAGAGAGAGAGAGAGAGAGAGAGAGAGAGAGAGAGAGAGAGAGAGAGAGAGAGAGAGAGAGAGAGAGAGAGAGAGAGAGAGAGAGAGAGAGAGAGAGAGAGAGAGAGAGAGAGAGAGAGAGAGAGAGAGAGAGAGAGAGAGAGAGAGAGAGAGAGAGAGAGAGAGAGAGAGAGAGAGAGAGAGAGAGAGCGCGCGTGTGTCTGTGTGTGTGTCTCCCATCTGTGCTCCTGGGGGAAGGCCTGCTGCTTACTGAATAACTGCACTGGTTAGTCACTCGCGCTGAACAGGCAGCAGGTTGGCAGGAGCTGCCCAGTGCATGCTTCCTCCTGTGCTCCTGTAGAGACCCAGTTCTCTGGTTCAGGCCGAGAAGCTGTGCCACATGGCAGCTGGTATTAACTAGTCCCTACAGCAGTATGTGAGCTTGGTTCTCCGTTTCCAAGAGAACACAAGCAGAGTGTAAAGATGTGACCTGCAGTCTCAAGTGTCTTTGATGGGGAGGTGGTGGTAGATTTGCAACAAGACAAAAATCGGAGAAAGGAACCCAAAATTCACTTAGGTTTCTAATGGACTCCAGTTTGAGCTTACAGGGCAGGTATTTGCCTGCCTTGTGCCTGGGTCAATCGAGCAGAACCATAATCAAAAGATGGCTGTTCAATATGAAAGGGAAAATTTCCGTAATAAATTGTCATGTAATGTCCTAGCTGGCTACCACCTTGTGAGATGACTCAAAGGTGATCAGGCACAACTTGCAGTGAAATGTTTGGGAAAGGAAGAGTCTCTAACACACGTGGGGACAATGAACATTGATCTGGACTCCCATAACAACTTTGACCCTCTGCCTCTCAGAGGAGAGACACATGCTTCTTCATTTCAGACATACTTCTACTATGCCAGAAATGGAGATATCCAGCCCACACAGTGTGTTGCTATCAAACGTGCACTGATCACCCGGCCTGGTGCACAGGATGTTTCCTCTTCAGATGTCTGCTTGGCCTGAATCCTGGGCAGGCTCTAACTTCTGCAGAAATAATTAATATCTCATCTCTGCCAAACTTGCACAAGTCATTTAAACAAACTAGTTCTCACTGCCTCCCCCCAGAGCCCCGTCTCCGCTTCTCATCCTGATACCTTATCGTGCTATGGACAGGATGTTTTACATTGCTTTCTCTATGGTGACCGGACAAACATCCTTTCACTATCAAAAGCCCTTGGAGTGTTACTGTATTGCAGAGCCTTTGATCTGTGCTTGGATAATCAAAGATAAAAATAGACTCCTCCCACCCTGCTTTGTATCTGGCTAGTCCTGATTTAATAAAAGTTGAACGTTCACCATCGTACACCCAAAAGCTTGTAAATGTTATTGCAAAGGCCAGGAGAAGGGTTTGGATCCTGGTCACTGAATACAAGATAGACAGTTTGGGTGTTGTCCCAACACAGTCTCAAACTAGTGTCACCAGGAACACATAAGTGTGTATGGGGTTAGTGTTTGTTCTTCATTAAAGTCATTTCACTATGATTTATCATCGATATGATTTATCAGTCATATTACACATCTCCTTGTGCCAAGAACTCCTGAATCGCCTGGCATTTGCTCCCTATTGTTCTCACTCCTGTTGCTTGTTAAAGTGACTTCAAGTATTGGTAGGCACATGGGTCTTGTCCTTCACCCTTTATTATTTGAGATCGAATTTAAAAGCCCGAGAGCTTTGTAGATTGTGCTTGGGCAGCTATGGATTTTTTTTATTTTTTCTTCTAGACTAATGTGTGTGGCAGTAATTGATTTGAGAAACCCCATTCCCAGGCTAAACTTGAAGTCTGTGTCCTGTGTACTGCTTCGTGTTGTGCTGCTATTATTGGCTAAATTTTTTATCTGGACAACAGTTGTCATGGCAAGTTTATCATGCCAGATCTGCAATCTCAGATCTGCCAGCCCGTGAGAGCAGAACCTCTAACACCACGAGCCAGTGCATTCCCCTGTTTTCCCATATTTAGCTGCTGTGAGATGACACCAGTTTGCATTCTGTGTATTTAATGGTGCCATTTAATTAGGACTGGACTGCAGAAGTGACTGATTAAAAGTTATCTGTCATAAGTGCAGAGAGAGAAAATCTCTAAAAATGGAAAAATAGTAGAAATTCATACTGAAAATTTCTCTGGTTAAATCTGTCCTCATGTTGAAGGCAAAGAGCTCACAGTCCATCCTTACAAAAATGTTTTAGCCTCTGTTCCTGAGCACCAGCCTCTCTGGGAAGAGCAGCTTTTCCAAGTACGGGTGCTGTGTCATTTTCCAAGTCTTCTCATTCGGTGGGGTAGCAGTAACATTTTTACCGTGTTACGTTTATATCCTAGCTGCTGTAGCACAATGCACGCAAGTGTTTGGCAAAGCAGGTATGCAGCTGGGGGATGAAATTTGTACCAGATGTGCTGGACAAGCTCCTTTACCTGACTTAGAGCAGCCTGTGAATTGAGAGCCGGGGGGGATTCACCGTGTGCTTTCCCTGAAACATGTCCTTGCCTGGCAGCACTGCTCCGGTCCTGCACCCTGGGAGGAGGCCCTTCTGGAGGGCTTTGGGTAGTGGCCCAGGCTGGCACAAGCCTGGCTCCCTGCTCTGTGGCAAAATAGGGAGGCCTCTCTTGAGAAGGGCTCTATGCATCCAGCCATGCCTCACCAGGGGCTTCTGACTCCATCCAAAGGTAAAGAATGACTCCATCTGGTAAACAACGCGGAGATTCGATCTCTCTTGTGCATCCTTCTGTGTGTGCAGCTGCCATTATTGGGATAAGCCACCCTTTGCATTTGCACTATTCCTAAGCAACATGTTATTTCCAATTAATACATTTTTCTTTACTTAAATCATGTCCTATGCCTGTTGTGTTTCTAGCCAGGTCTTCTAGCTTGTCTTCTGCAAACTTGTCATTGCAGAGAAACTTAAACGTATCTTTTGGGCCTTCTAGATGGATAATTGGAAGGAGGTGGGAAAGTTTCAGTGGGTGTTCCTCTTTTCTCTGCAATTTTGCAGAATCAGGTAGAGCAGTGGGATGCTTCTCATACTAGCCTGAAAGGATCACCCACCAGCCTGAAGTGACTATAGTAGATCTTGCAGTGTTGTACTTGGGGAGTGGAGCAGAAGCTTATAAGAAAATTTTGGTAGTCTCTTAGGTCGCTAATTTCTAAGAAGAGACTTGGTGGACACTCAAAGCCCCTTCAGTTGCGTTGTGTTTGGTTTGTTTTATTTTTTTTATGGACTGTGCTCTTGGTCTTCAAAATCATCCTCATCTCTAAGAAGAATTTGCACACTAAGGCAAACCTGGTATCTTTTGAAGCATGATAATATCCAGAAGGCTGGTAGAACTGGCTTCTTGCAGCTCACATGGTGTAGAAGGTTCCCTTGCAAGGTTACATCTACTGCCCCAAAACTCCAGGTGAACCAGCGAGTCGGAGAGGAGGGCCAGGCTTGGATGGATCTCAGGAGCCAGTTAGAGCAATGTGCACCTGAATCTAAATTGCCCTGGACTGGTTTGGAGCCATGGGACACAAAGGGGACTTCTAATACTGCAGCGAGCAGAGCTTCATGTCATGGGGGAATCTAATCTCTGATCTCGTCTCAGCTTTGAATGTCTTTTTCCATATTTTTGATGTAAACCACATTCTTCAGGTTTGCTAGTCTTTTTACCTCCCCACCAGTCTGTGGAGTAAATTCGCAGAGGAGGGATGAACAACTGTTCTGCCTTTAAGATCAAGACTTCGCTTTTGATGTTTGGTCAGCAGGAGGAGAATGTCTTTCATTGGAGACCTTGGTACAAATGGGTCTACATTAAGAAACAAAATTGGGTCGATGGTTTTGGTCTGGTACTTAAGGCCACGTTACGAAACAGGCAATAACTCTGTGCAATTTATGTTTTTCAGGAATGCTGAAGAGAAGTCTAGGGTTGAGATACCAGCAGTACAGCAAGTGCACTGCAGGACTGGACTGAGCGTGTTCATAGCTATTAAGCTCTTGGTTTATTTTAAAAGAGTCTGAGATAACAGGTAGGGGGCTTCAGGCTTGGATTGAGGTTTGTGATCCACTTCTCTAGTAGATCCTTGTCTGGGTGCTTTTCCAGCACACATCCTGGAGCAGATGCTTTCTGTCTGCTCCCTTTTTGTCTGAACTGGGCCCTTGCTGGCCTAGGCTCAGGGTCACTGCTTCACCTCTGCCACTGCAAGAGGGGCCACAGCTTTTCCTGGAGTGCTGCCTTGCAAAGGAGCACTGCAGTTTGCCTCTTCAAGAACATGTAGCGTTGCCCAAGATGTGTCATGCTTGGCAAATTTTAAATTACAGATCTACAGCCTTGAGCTGCTGTTTCTTGAAACCTTCTTTGGCCTTAATTCAGGATCCTTTAGGTTGTCACGAATTATTCTGCCGCTGGTGCTGGCTTCGAAACATAGGGTCTCTCTCTGCCCTCTCTCATCAGTTGTTGCCCTTCCAGGTCTCTCTTGTAGTAATTCATTTGGGTTCATTCATCTCTGCAAGATGAAAGTTGGCTGAACAGACAGGCACGTTAAGGGCTAAATAATAATACCGAGTTATTAGGGAGTGCTTTCTGTCCAGAAGGTCTAACTAAGCCTTTTCCAGAGGAAGTTGATACTATCTTTTTAATAGATTGTGAAACTGAGGCCAGTGCCCTCTCTGCAGCACTTGGGATGGAGCACAAGTCCCTGACACCCACCCCAACACGCTACTCTGATGGTTCTTTTCCTTTTATTTGCATCTCCGAGCACACATCTCCTGGATGATCCCAGTGCTGCCTTTGGTTATTTCTTTCAGAGGAAAAGAAGGAATTGTGCCCTTTTCTCCAGCACGTATCCTCCGTGGTTTCAGTCAGATGTGTGCTATCACATGGCTTTTCTGGCTCTGTGTGCTTCTCCCAGTTGTTGTTCCAGAGGCGGAAAAACATGCTGGAAGAGTTATTGCTTTTCTCCTTTTTATTTGATGTTCTTTGCCTGTCCTTGCAGAGCCATTTAGATAAGGGGATTTATCAAGCTTGAACTAATTAACCCTGGATGCAGGAAGTCAGAATGGAGCATTCCAGCTGTGAAAGCCTCAGACTTACCCTGAAGCACACATGGGTCTGAAGGAATTTCACATCTCTTTACCCTTGTCGGCAAATCACTATGGTGAACTTTTCTGTTGCCTTACTGGACTTCTCTCACTAATGTGCCATGAGGGTGGTTTGTTGGCAGGGCTATTTCAGTAACCCAGGCTGCCTGTAGCAGGATTGCATGCAGCACAGGGTGTCTCTGCTGCCACTTCAAGGTTCTTGTTCCTGGAGATTTTTTTTTTCCTTTATTGAGAGAGAGGGTTGATTTTGATAGAAATACAGTAATTTTGCCTGTAGGAAGATGCTTTAGAAGTTGTTGCAATCACTTTCTCAGTGCAGAACTGGCAGCCAAAGAGTGACTTCACAAAAAAGGGAGGAAAGTGGCTACCTGAAAGGTCAAGGTAGGAAAAAAATGGTTGCTTAGTTGACCACATGGGGAGTTTGTGCCTTCAGAGCCTCCTCCCCCTTGTTTCATGTGGCCATAGGTCCACTGGGTCTTAAGAGAATAGCTATCCAAGACAGAGTTTTAAAATCTTGGTTTGGTTTTTTCGGTGTTCCCTGGCTATGCTTGGTGGTGTCAGACTGTCTGGGAAGGGCAGCAGGACTCTGATCCCAAATGTGTCCTCCTGCCAGGGTTAAAGAGTGATCCAGCAAAAGCTTCTGAAACTCTGATCCAGAAGAAAGACCTCAGTGACACACGTCTGGAAACAGTGAAAAATACAAGGGCTCCAACAGAATCCAAGCCAGAGAAGAGAAGAGAAATAACCTCATGCCTACCTTCAAGTGCCAATCTCTTGTCAGCGCTAGCAGAGCTGAAGTGCTGGTTCACATGGGAATCCTTCTATCGCTACGCATTAAACTAAAAAATACAAGGGCTCCAACAGAATCCAAGCCAGAGAAGAGAAGAGAAATAACCTCATGCCTACCTTCAAGTGCCAATCTCTTGTCAGCGCTAGCAGAGCTGAAGTGCTGGTTCACATGGGAATCTATCTATCGCTACGGCCATTAAACTATTTCCCTCCTACAGGACAGCGTGAAGGGGTGGGAGGGAGGGATGTCATTTAATCATACGAAGATCAGTCACACTTTCATCCTTGTGAAGAATTGCAGTTTCAGATTTAGTATCTCCTTTTGGCACCAAACCATTTGAAAGTGTCTCTTACTCTATTGTGAAGGTCAGAAGTGCGGGTAATGAGTCCCCTGATAATTCAGCGCAGACCTTTCCCTTGGAGGACAAGACCTCTGATAAAAGCGCAGGATCGCAAGTCAGGAGGTGATAAACTCTAATGGAGATGTTCTTTGGAGCCTGGAAAGGGTGCATAATTTCTGTATGTCTGCTCTTGGGCTGCTGGGAGAATAACACTCTCTTATCTTTAAGGAGTGGAGTGAGCATCGTTCTGTTAATGTCTATGAAGTTTGCAGACACATTTAATGGTACATTTTTTTGCTGGAATTACCTGCTTAGGTTATTTTTTCCTTTCTCCCCTGTGCATTGCTGTGCGAGCAGAACTGCTTGCTTCTTTGTGAACCAGACTGGGGAAATAGAAATAGTCTGAGTTAAGGGGGAAAAAAAAGATAGAAAGGTTTTTGATAGGATTATTTCAAGGTGGATCGGTTCCCTGGGCCATCTGCAGTACAGATGCACAAGTACCTTGTTCCAGCACACACGAGGCAAGGCGGGTATTGGCAGGGAGGGGACATGTAGTGAGCGAGCGATACCTTGAGCTTCTATTGCTGTCAAGAGCGTATTGTTGAACCAGACCCAGATACTCTTGGCCTAGTGTATGTTGACACTGGAGAGAAAGACTCGATATCACCAGTTCATGTTCTCTCTGCTTTGACTGAAAGGAAAGCTTGAATCCGGTGTAACTTCAGCCCATGTTCATTATGATTTTTACTGTTTTTTCCAGATTGCCCGACAGGAAGGAAGAGTCATTTTAACCTCTGGACTCCCATATCAGACTGTAAGTGTTCAGAGCTTCTGGCATTTTTCTGGCATTGTATCATTGCATGGTCTGGGATGTGCAGTGTAGAGAAGAGGAAAAGTCAGACGTGAATGCAACAGCTGGCTGGCTTTTTCGTGTTTTCTGCACTAAAAACTACATTAAGGGTCTTGAGAGGTTTGCTGTTCTGAATGACCAAAGCTCGGAGTGAAATTTTTTTTATACTCAGTACCGCATCAGTGGGGAGAGCGATTGCTCTCCATTGGGGGCGGGGGGTGGAAATCAAGCCAAGCAATCCAGAACAAAGTGTTTCTGTTTAGCCTCACTGGCAGGTGAAAGGCAGCTCAATTCCCATGCTTTTTATCACAAAGATTCTTGTTTACTGACTGGCTCCACAGTGACATAGTTTCAACACTTAAAGACGTTTCTTCAGGCTTGGAAGGGAGAGAATGGAAGCCGCTAAGCATGGGTCCCGGTGGAAGCTGTAGAGGTTTTGTGTTCCTATAGATGCACAAAAAACCCAAAGCAAAACCCAACTTTACCCTCAGCACCAGATGTTCAGAGCCCTTCATGGGACACACTTCAAAATGGAGTGTTGGTGGGAATACACTGAACCTGTCAAGTCAGTGGTTGCAATGTTATGATGCCTGCTGCAGGTCCTTTGCACTTTGTTGCTCCCCAAAAATTCATTTGGAAGAGTGAAACTATTCTAGATTAAACATGTGAGCCAGAGTGCAGGACTTCCTTGTTACAAACTATCAACATAAAAGCTCCCAACTACTCAAGTAGCTAGTTGAAGTATTTGCAGAATGTAGGATGCTAATTTCCTACATAATAGCTGAGCATTGAAGAAAACTCCCCCCACGATGAGACACTGTGAGGCAAGTGCAGCCGTGCCACACTACAGGTTCCTTATCCAGACTGTGGTTCCTTGAGCCTACAGTTGATGTAATAGGTACTTCAGCATCCAGCATAATCTTATTTGGCAAAGCTTTAACTTCAAAGTACTGTGTAGGAATTGCAAAAGGAAAATAACTGCTTCCCAGTGTACGATACTGTCCTGGGAAATGTCTGGTTCCCTTTGTTCCTTTGCCTTTGTATGCCCTACGCGAGGACAGGATGGCTCTGCTAGTCTCCTTTACTTGCATGCAGCTAATCCCACCCCGCTGTGAGTACTGATCGTGTTCATAAAGATGTGCCTGGAACTTCCCAGTGCTTGCTCCCAGATACAGACTTCTCTGCTAAATGTGGAACAAACATCGAGAGACTGTCCACATCAACCACCTCAAATTCATTGGCCATCAGTGAAGTCCAGATGAAACGGTGTATAAACTGGAAGGGTTGAAGTGGTAAAACTGTCAGTGGACATTATCTCCATCATTGTGCTTTTGCATACTGTGTGGGATCTGGCCAGGTTTCATGTGAAAGCTGTGGTTAAATTCAGTTTCCTCTTGCTACCCCTGTCAGCACCACACCACCAAATTTTAAGTTGAAGGGGACTTGGGCGATCATGTTTCATATATATATATAAAATGCTGCAGTGCTTCAGTGCTTCAGTAGTCTCAGAGCTATTGCAGCAGTGGCTAAGTGTTAAATTACCAATTGTGCTTGTCAGATCAAAATTTAGACTGTAAGCACATACTAACGCCAAATATTATTTGTAATTAAAACCAAACCAAGGGTATTGGGAAGAAACCCATGGATCATGATGCATGGAGTGCCTCATTTATTGTCTTTTTGGTTTACGACTTGTCTTTTGAAGCTGCAGTCCCAGGTAGCAGAAGGAAGGTGTTTCTCTGTGAACTGCTCAGAAAAGGCAAAAGAACAGGCCCTGCAGGTTCTGAAGCACTTCAACGTTCAAGTATCCCTGGCGGATATCTTCAGCCGCTGCCAGGTAGGACAAAGCTTGTTTGAGTTAAAGTTCATGCTCGCTCGCCGTTTCGTGCACAGCAGGCACTGCTTCAGCTTTTTGGGTCTTGCACTCAGTGTCTTCTACTCGGTTCCCAAGATTTCTGCTTGAACTTTGGCAACATCTTGCAAAGCTGTGAGGAGTTCGGAGTGTGCTAACATCCGTCAGAAGTGTTGATGACTAAGTCAGAAGAGCAGAGGCACTGCATCTGCAGCTTTGCTAGAAACTCTGCTGTTTTTCTGATTTTTGGTACTTGGCATGTGTTTTGGCATTGACTATCACGGTTATAGTCTCTTTGTTGCTGTGTTCTCTGTCTAGGACACATGCTGTTTTAATTATAAACCATGTTTAATTATGGCTCTGTGATTCTGATAACACTTAATTACTTTAATAGGAGGATTTTTTTTTTAGGACTGTATTTTTTTTTTCAGAAGCTATTAGGTTAATTCATGTCCATGCTAGTTGATGACTACAGATTGTGTTTGGCACTGGATATCTGTGGATTGTTGTTAAGAAGAAATTTTAATTGTGTTAGCTCAAATCTCCATCTCTTCCAGTTTCACTCATGTATTTGTTACAGTAACACGCTGAAACCTATCCCTTCAAAAACTGTAACATAAACCAACTTGCAACTTCAACATCTCTCATCTTATCAGTGTTTAAAGGGAGAAAAAGAAGAAACTGCAAATCTGGCTAGAAAAGGAGCTTTCTCTCAGGAATAAACAAGCCAGCTGAACACTGCAGTGAAGTCTGGCTCAGTGCCTGGTAGTCAAGCTCGTGGGGGCTCCTGGCCTGGTGGAACTGCACAAGTGTTGTAGGAATAGCAATGACTTCTGAGCAAACACACCAGAGAGCATTTTCTAGACCTCTGCTTATATCTGATGTCGGTTATTGAAACTGTATCTGTAACTTACAGAGAAAATGAGAGTTGTCCAGCTGTGCAGGTTGTCTATAAGAGGAGAATGACGTAACACCATGCAGATTGGATCGACATAATATGGGTTGATCTTACTTCAAGATAAATGTATATATTCAGATATAAGATAGTGTGCTCAGTCTTGCGGTTTTATTGTTCTGAGAACAGATTGCAGTTGTTATAAGTGACGCACCATTTTCTAGACCTCTGCTTATATCTGATGTCGGTTATTGAAACTGTATCTGTAACTTACAGAGAAAATGAGAGTTGTCCAGCTGTGCAGGTTGTCTATAAGAGGAGAATGACGTAACACCATGCAGATTGGATCGACATAATATGGGTTGATCTTACTTCAAGATAAATGTATATATTCAGATATAAGATAGTGTGCTCAGTCTTGCGGTTTTATTGTTCTGAGAACAGATTGCAGTTGTTATATAGTGACGCACTGGCTTCTTTGCTATTTAAAAAAAAAAAAACTTTAAAAAACCTTGTGGATTCTCCGATTCCCTGAGATCCCATAAAATAGCAGTGTTCTTCCTGATGGTTGTTGAAATACCCCAAGAATAAGCACACAAAAAAACATGCTGCAGAAAACTCTCTGATATCTGTAATAAATGCAGGAGACTGTGCAGCATACGATATAAAACTGACCCCTTGCCCATGATCTGGAGTCTGGAACTATTTAACTATACAGCTTTTTAGTACGTGCTGTCTTAGTTTACAATATAAATAGGAGTAATCAATCTGGCTAGGAATATATACTAAGTGTTCTCTTACTTCCAGGAGAAATGCCTTCCCTGTAAATTGTGGTGGTAGAACAGCTGCATGTTTTATACTGCTAGGCATGGGAAGATGCTATTATTTGTCAAACTGCTCTGTGTTCTGATTCATATATTTACCTACGTTTAAGGCTTTGGCATTTTGGAGCTGATTTTGTTCAGCTGTCCTCTACAGACTGTACAAGTTTCGCTAATACGTTGCTGTTGCTCTCGAGGAGAATCCAAGCTCTTACAGCTGCACGTGTCCAGCAGACACCCAGCCAGTTTCCCAGGGGTGCTCGGCACTGCGGCTCTCAGTAGGTCTGCGTGCGAGGGGGAGAGCGGTGGGCAGCTGGTTGGGAAGGATCATACTGCATAACTGCAGAGTATTGACTGCCCACATAAAAAATGGCAAATTTCTGCTTTTAAGAGGGTGCTCTGTGGCCAACAGAGACCTCAGCACTTCATTTGTAAGTTCTTTCTAAAACATCCTAATTCTCTGCAAACCTAATTGGGCTTAATTAGGATGGAGGCTAGATCCTGAAACTGCTGAGCTGTGCCTTCCATACTGCCTGTTCTGGTCTTTAACCGGGTTACAGACCTCAGGGCTTGCAAACTGCTTTGAGGTCTGCCACCTCCTTGCAGAAATGTGTATTGCTAATTGGTGACCGAGGGTTTCGGCTGTCCCTGTAGCAGGGGAGTGCTGATGGCGTGCAAGCTGGGGCCTCCAGAAACACCCAGTGCTGCTGCCTACGTGCTCGGCAGAAGGAGGAGGCCGGGTAGTACTCATTCGTAACCCGGGCCGCTCTCCTTCCTCGCCTTTGTGGAGCTCGGCCGGCCGGTGTCTGAACTGCGGGCCCGGCAGTGAAGGACAGCCCTGTCGTGCTTGCCAGAGCGCTGGAGATGGGTTATCGGCTGCTGTCATCCACTGTAGATAAGCGTTTTCTGTGTGTCACAGGAAGCAATGTGGCATCCTGCCTGACTCTCTCTGTCTCGTGGAGCAAGGGCTTGTTTTGTCTCTTGGGCCTCTATTCTGTAAATGATTTGAGTCAATATGTCAGCAAATATTGTTGCTGTAACAATTAATGTGTGTAGTGCAGAGCACACGGTAAAAATAGGTCCCAATTCAATGTTGTACCCAAGATTGCTGTAAAATATGTTTCCTCTGTCAGCTCCCTCAGCAGGGATGGACGGTCTCTCTTTTGCAGATATAAAGAATGGGCTTGCTTTGTAACCCTGCCAAAATACTGCCTTTTTCTGTTAAAACAATGGCAAATACCGGTTACCTCTGTCTGACTTAGAGCAGCAAGTGCACGGAGAATTTCACCCGTGGGCTTCTCGGCATTTCTGCTTTCAGTTGTGCTGGGCTTCAACTTGGTTACTCTGGGTAAAGGCTCCAGGAATGGAGACTACAGCTGGCTGCATCAGTTCTGGCCTTCCAAGTATGGTCTTCCTATTGCACGTGGCTCTCAAGTGCTGCATCTTAAGGGCCCTGTGATGGTCATGGAGAAGCTTTAGCCAGGCCTGGTATTGCCTTCGGTGAGGAACGTTTTAGGGGGGCTGAGTCAAAATAAGATGAATTCTGTCTTCTGGTGACATGCACCCACCCCCACCCCCCCATGAAGTCGTATGTTTCCTAGCCTTAAAAGCTTTGAAATAAACCCATTCCCTCTATTTGAAATGCAAATGTCTTTTGTCTGTCATCTCTGCACACATTTGAATATCATGTATCCAGCTTTTCTTCTTTTCGGATATCCAAAAGTAGCTCCTTCAGAAAGGGGTGATGGTGAAATGCATGCTGGAGGGTGTTCTTACATGATAAATTCAGCACATTGGTCCCTTACACTAGTCAGGAAGATCTTTGTGGAGTTGTCAGGGGCTGTTGTGAGCAGCCTTAGGATCAGCTACCAAACTGGCTTGAGTGGAAGATCAGTGATCCTCTGCTCTTGACAACTTGGAGGAAGTTCTAACACAGAACTTGCATTTAAGAAAGAAAGAAACAAAACCTGCTAAAGAAGGTGACCTACTGGATGGCTATGAACATCTGACAGCTGTGTCATTTTATAGGGGGGTTGAAATTCGGCTTCTCTCACAGGTCCGTCCATTCAAGGAGGAGGTTATCTCCCATCCATCCTGGTGCTGCAGCCACCCTCGCTCGGACGTGGTGTCCATCCATGGGGCATGCCTGCCTGCTTTGACACTCACGTATGGCCTGGTAGGGCAGCAGGAGGACATGAACTCCATTCCAGTCTCGTAAAGAAACACTTGAAAATGGACATGATTGCCAAATCATTACCTGGGTGACTGACTTGGCTTTTTCCATCTTGCTTTTCTGCGCCGTCTCATTGAAGATCCGTCTGAAGCAGGCGTAGACTGCATCTACTGACCTGGCAGTGTGTGCAATGCCTCTTCATTTACTGCTCTCCTTCTCAGTAAGCCCCAGGTACCCAGGATATTTTGCGTCCTTTGGCTAAGGTATGGTGTCTGGCCTAGCCGACTTCTTGTCAGTGAAAAAACACTTATGTTGAAGAAGATAAATTCAGGAAAGGGGCTGGCAGCCTTTGGTTGTGAGTAATGTCGCTCTCTGCGGCACTGACAGGGTGAAATTATGGTTTGAACGGTGATAAACTGAGGAGATAAACAGCGCAAGTTGTTAGCTTTAAATCTTTATATCGCAAGTGTTTGTCACGACAGTTTGAAGGGAAAACAGTGTGTTCAGTGTTGTATGGGATCGCCGACAAATTACTCCTGCTATAGAAGAACCTCGTCGTTAAAGGATTATAACTCTGCTGTAAAATCCTTGCTGGTTTGACGCTCTGCAGACAGATTTGGAGCCAGGAGGGCCTGTCCGTCTTCAGAAAAGCTGAGTTGTGCTTTACTTGAAAGCCTAACTGCTGCTCAGCTCAATTTTGAGTCCGAAGCTTTGCTCTTGTAGAAGGGAGGGAGTGGGCTGGGGGACCTGGGTCCTGCGGTGTGGCTGTGCCACCTCCTTGCCTCCTTTGCGCCTCTCTTTCCTTTCCCACCCTCTATTTGACTTGACCCTTTAGCCTTTAAGCTGTCCGGAGCAGGGACCCTGTTTGAACAATACCTAACGCAATGGGAGGCTGATCCCAGGTGAGGTTTCAAGGCTTTCCTGCAAGGAAAAATGATTGCAATTATATCCCCTGCAAAAATAAATGTGCACAGAAAAAAAAAATCTCAGGCTCCAGCTGCAGTTTCTGCAACTGAACAGCCCTGCATTTATTATAGGATTATCTACAAATTCAAATAGGTTGTCTCTTTCACTTCACTGAATGCTCTGATCCTAA